TAGACAAACACACAAAGTCAAATATTGCAGATTTCTCTACTGTGTGGCAGCAGGGCATTAAAAGCATTCAGATGGAATATAACTTGCAGACTCAAAAGCCCTCTGAAAACTAGCATGGTGGACTACACTTAGCTGCAGTTCTTTAGGTATGAGGAAGGGAAGGAAGCAACTAACTAAACTGCCCAATGAAGTGAAAGATTTGCTCTTGGCCTTTCCCTTAAAAAAGGAAAGTGCCTCTACACGATTTCACTGCATGCCTGTTGTAAACAGCAGGATACTCTCAAGAAGTAATTACTGTCTGGGTTAGAAGTGCCTCTCACGAAAGAGTGCTGAGAAATTGCAGTCCTCAGCACCACAACAAGATTTTAGAAGGTACACCAGAGAGCTATGTACTACCATATGCCTTTAGCTATTAGAGCCTAAAATAATTTCATTTCTTCAGGCATGTTCTCAAGGGGAGACTGACAAAATACCTCCACCTAGAGAATCTACAACTCTTGATAAATTGGTTTATAGATACAGATCATTTGGCCAGAATGTTTTGCTCACAATGACTTCTGCCTTCCTAGGAAGCTTATTTACGTATCTTCACTAAACCTTTGAGTAGTAGCCATAGACTAGAAGCAGAAAACAAACTTAATTATTTGACTATTGTTAGATGTGAAGTCCGTAGTGTTTTCTGTTAATTTAATAATTCTAAATACAAATCTGTATTTCAATGAATTTTTTACGCATGCTGTGAAACAGATTTAGCACTACTTTAAGATGACAAAGTTATCGTCTGGTATTTCTAAACAAAAGTCACATACCCTATTTTTCTAACTTAAAAAAAACATGACAAACTTTTTTTTTTCTCCCTGAGGAATTTTTGTGGTTGAGACTTTCTTCCTGAACAAATAGACACAGACAGAGGTAAAATGTCAGACTTATTTAAAACTTCGTAGACTAGGAACAAATGAGCTTTCTAAGTCAGTGGCAGATTTTTCTTTTTAGCAATGTAAGACATGGAATAGGATTTAGTCTGCAAGTAAGCCAGCCCGTCAAGCATTTGAGTTACTTGGTGGTACAACAGGAGAGTCCTAATTTCTTCTGTTGGGTGCTGTTAAGAGAATTACTGGAAGGTTTTATTCAGTCCACTTTTGAAAAGTGATCTGGACACCATAGATGGTTTAAAAATTTTTGTTATTGTTGTGTGGAATTTGGATGTAGGTAAGTCTCTAAGGATTTTATTTTTATTTATATTTTGGTATTTGTAGTTTCCTTTTTTTGGGTTAGCATCACTTTTTGTAACTTAGCATAGAGTGATACTTTGGCAGTAATAAACAAACAAACACTAGAATAACTTAGAAACAGTACATACACAGAAAAAGGCTTCAGGAGTAATACAAAGATTTTGTTTGGATTTATTTGAAGAAAATAAATGATTCCTTTAGGTTTCTAAAATACTGTAGACATACATACAGAATCAAATTGATAAAATTAGGGAAATAACAGATTTCGGGGAGGAGAAGTGTCCTAAGAATTGTTCTGACAGGGACTACAAAGATTAAGAATCCACAGTGACAGTTAAAGCCCCAAATTGTTTTCAATTTAGCAGCCTTCCAATTGGGTTGTTCATAGAAGAATAATTAAAGATTGCTTCTAATTAATAACTTTAAAGAAGCCCCAAATCTGAAAGATCTTTCTCAAGGGAACATTTTATTTAAGACAGAATGGTCAAAGTTGTGATCCTGTTACCTATATTCCTATTTAACTGAGTTCTTTTAAAATTGACTGCTAATAATGTAGTGCCAATACCTTTCTGAAAGAAAACACAGTATAGGTATATTCCTTTTTAATATGTGTAGGTTTTTTGTTATTTGTTTGTTATTCATTAGATGATGGTCTAATTGATCTTGCTATAAAGAATATGAAGAAAGAACAGGAACAGGCTTTCATTGCCTTGGAGTTTCTAGCCTTATAAGTGGTTTATATTTTATTTTATTAATTTTTTAAATTTTTTATATTACACAGTTTGCTAGCATAAAATATAAAGATGGACTTACTGGGGGGGGGGAGGGGGGGGAGGTAGCAAGGAAACATTACTTCAACAGAGCTTAATACAGCCAAATAATTTTTGAGTCCTAAAAGCTTTTTTAAAAAAGGAAACTTTTAAACATTAAATTTAATACTATTTTGTAGTATTTTGGAATTTGGCTACTTAACATACTGTTTTCTAAATTTTTGTAATTGATTTTGAGATTTTGCAAACTTTTTTTTTTAAAGTCCAGACTTAGGCCAATCAGAGCATTCTTGTCTACTCGTTGAGCCTTTCAAACAACTTTCATGGATTTATGAAACAGGACTTTGTTTTACAAAGCCATGTTGCATTTATTCATACTGTCCATTTACTCATGTTGCGGTTTTTTTCACATTACTCATTAATTTTGCTCGTTATTATACTTTCAATATATTTGCACTGTCAAGCTTACCAATCTGTAGTTTTCCAGATCTTCCAGAAGATTTCCTCCTGAATATCAGTATGATTTCTGCCATCTTCCTTTCCTTGGGTGTCAATGTGCTTTTCAGTAAGAACTTGAACACAATAGCAGGTCCTAAACTTATTTTGTCCTCAGTTTTCTTCAAAACTTTGAATGTTTGAAGAGTGAATACTCTTTTGTGAATTCTCATTGTTGGCTTTGTTCTTGAAGTTCTTCTGCCAACCCCTGAACCTGTTTGTGTCTCTCTTCTACTTTGGGAACTCCTTTTGCACACCAATAGAACATTTAATGAAGTGTTGCTGTGGCCTTTGTTTTCTTTGAGTATTCCTTCTCATCGTGATCTTTTACTGACCCTACAGATTTTCTGATTGTCTTCCTTCTTTTGCTATTTTCAAGGACAAAGATGTGTTAATTATTGATGCTTTTTGCAAGTTGTTCCTCAAACTTTTTTTAAACTTTTTTTTTTTGTCTGCTTTAATACAGCTTCATGTTCGATCAGCTGAAGTTTTGATTTCTCTCCAGTTTGTGTTGTTTTATTTTGTTGAGGTGTTGTAACTTGAATAATTGTTGTCGAAGACTGGAGTAAGTTACAGAAGTCTATCTTAACATTTTTATGCAGTTGATTTAAATAATTAAGTTTAGTGTGCTTTTGTCCTATTGACATCAATAAAGTAGAAGCAATAGTTCTTTTAATTATTATGCAAATTAGGTATTTTCATGCACTGAGTTTCATAGGAGTTCTGAGGGAATAGAACTTAATTTCAGCTCTTCATACAAGTAAGAAGAATGAGCAAAGCTCATTCCCTCCTCCTCCTATTACTGTTTGAAAGCTATTGCTGATGCAAGGTATGTTGTATGACAGAGTAATATAAGAATAGATATTGTCATGGCAGCTTTTCTCCAGGAGAGGTGTTGGATGGATTAGTACCGTGGTTCCAACCATACCATGGCATGGCATCCTCCCTTGAGCATGCTTGTCCTTTCAGACTCCTCTGGAAATAAGAGAGATGGTTCCAACTCCTGGCACAGAGTTGTGGGGCCCTTGGCGTTCTATCTCTAAGTGAATCCAAATACTATCATTTATGAGACTGGGTGGAGAATGCCTGATGCTTAATTGGATCATTCTAACACTTAGACCCTAACAACCTACTGGAGCTCACAGTCTGCTTGACTTGATTTCCTTGACAGGTTCACAGCTGTCATGTTGATTAACAGGTTGTTTACACTTGTTACATCTCTGTTCTTATAACTAAGCTATTCCCTTCTCCTATACTGATAACTAAAGTTCATCTATGTATGCTAACATTGCTGACAAGTAGGCCTAAATTATGCTGACTGCCATGCACCCCCATAACAGTTCAGCTAAAATAAGATACAAAACTACTTTCATACTTACATTCCTTGCAGTAGGATAAATGTAGGGTCGTGGTTGTAGTCTGTGTTATGCTTTAATCTTAATATGTTCCTCTTGGAAACCTAATAAGTGCTATTGTTTCTTACAGTCTATACCAAAGTAGCTTGTCCATCCAGTTCTTCTGGTGACCATATGTAAATTTGGTACTTGGAATTTTGCCTGATCATGACATAATACATCATCATTTTTTAGATGATAAAAGGCTTTGCAACAGAGAAAGTATTTGAACCAGATTGCTTTAATTGTTTACACAGTATATTGTGCCAGAAGACAATCTTAATTGAGGTGTACTTTTAAAAACTCCTTAAAATGTTGGATATACATGAATAACGTATTTCCTGTGCATTGAAGCAAGATGTGCAAACAATAAAGAGGGTTAAAAAACTGAAATAATAGCTGTTGTCATCCTTATTTATGATGAATAATAAGTTGTCATTGTTCTAAAGGCTTGTGAGTCTGGACAGTGAATTACTGCTGCTCTTGGCTATGGGTTTTAAAGATGAATCTCTTGATTCCTCAGACTACTCACTAGTTGACCTGATGCTTGCTTTAGAGTTGAAGTACTCGTTCTTATGAAGTATCCTGTGACACTTAGTATGTTTAAAGAGGGAAGATTTTTAAACAGAAGGGGAAAAAAGCCCGTTCTGTTCTTCATGCTCAGTTTAGTTTAATCAGCATTTTGTCTTCTAATATGTTTTTCATTGTTCACACAGGCTGTAGCCTTTACCATTTCTATTATGTCACTAACTTTTACATATATATTTATATATAAATGTATATTTACATTGATTTTTATGTGTTAAGAATTATCCTTGTCAAGTTATTTAGTATCTGCTAAGGTTCATTTACTAAAGGAACTTGCTATTTGTATAAAATGAAAAAATTCAATGGAGTGAGAAAATATTTCGTTTTTATGGAAATTTGTGAACTAGTGTTTGGTATTTATAGCTCATGTGGCTGATAAGAAATTAAAGTATCTTAATGATAAGATTATAGTAAATTGATAATTAGACATAATGTCTAATTAGTCATTTGTTATGTCTCTTTGACTGTGATAGATATTGAAATCTAAGAAATAAAATAATTTAATATTTCCTCTGTTACAGGTAGCTTGCATGCAGCTCATCAATGCTCTCGTTACGTCTCCTGATGACTTGGATTTTAGGCTTCACATCAGAAATGAATTTATGCGCAGCGGATTGAAGGAGATATTGCCAGTAAGTGTCTTTCTTTGCATTACTATTTAAATTATTTAACTATTTGAGCTTGAGAGAAGGAATGGCAGAACAAGTTCTAATAAATTATTCTTCCATGCATTTTTTTTAAATGTGGACATGAGCAGTTAAATATGAAAATCAATCAAAATAAGAATGAAAAGATGCAGTGTGCTCTCTGAACTTTATGCTGATTCCTCAGCATTTTAGGACTTCAGTTTAGAACATGTGACAGACTGTTGTGCAGACTGTTAAGCCAGGCCGAAGCCATGTTTACCTTTTGAATATTTAATTCATGTGTTCTTGTAATTTTAAGCTTAAAAATAACATAAACTTATGGAAGTTATTAAAAAGATAAAGTTTATTTACATATGGAAATGCTAATTTTGCAAGCCGTTCTACTGTTTCTTCTTTGCAGCAATTGAAATGTATAAAGAATGAAGCACTAGATATTCAGCTGAAAGTGTTCAATGAACATAAGGAAGAAGACATGATTGAATTCTCTCATCGTTTAGAAGATATTAGATCTGAACTAGAATATCCTTTTGATATCAGCAAGAGAAACATGAACAAAATAAAGTGTATAATGGACATTTTTCTGGTATAATTTCTGTTCAAAAAGTTATCAGTCAACATTTGAATGAAATATTATTTTCCTTGCTATTACTCTCCTTAACGCTTTTACTGAAGTAAATGACGTTTACAACATGGTGTGGAATACAGTTAAGGACACTAGCGCTGAAGGATATTTCCTTTCTATTCTCCAACATCTTTTGCTGATAAGAAATGATTATTTTATACGGTATGTTTAATGCTATGTTAAATGTTAATTATGGATTTTGTTGTCATTTAGTCATTAATAGAATATTTCTTCCATAAATTTAATGATAAATACAGTTTAATCTTTTTCCGTGTGGATTGCAATTTGAAAGTATTCCTTTGTGAACTCATGCTCAAAAGTATCAGCTTTGAGTAAGAATGCCATTTATATGTTTTTGTCTTTTCTGCTTAGGATATAATTTTATATATGTATATAGAAAACTGTTTTTGTTGAGATCTGAACCTTATTGACTTGCAAGTATAAGTGATTAGGACAGGTCTCTTAATTGCTTATAAATCATGGTAGCAGCATTGTAACTTTCTGTATTTGAGTCAAAGGACAAAACCCAGTATGCACAGAAGTGCACTTTATACAGAAATCTGAACATATACTTAATTTAGAGTAAGTTGGGAATTGAGTATTTTCAATATACAGTATAGGTCAGTGTGAACATGTTAGTGTCTGTTGGAAAATTTGTCAGATAATTTACAGGGAAATAGTTAATAAAATCTTAGATGTTTGAAGCTGCTAAATGCTTTTCTTTCTAAAATCTACCTGTGTTGTTTTTGAGGAAACACTAGAGGAACCAGTTAAGAATTGAACAGGGAAGGAAAACCATCTGTTTTCTGCCTAGTGTTCTGCATAACCTTGCATTTCAGGTAAGGCCTAGCACAGGTGTACCCTTAAAGGTTATGAATGCTTGCCTGACATGGGTAGACCTGTGCTAGACCTCTTCCACCTGAAAGGATTTGAATTCACAGCTTGCATGTTCTGGGCAAGTGACCCAGCTGTCATACCCCCTGGCAATTTAGAACAAAGTGTTTTTCATTCTTTTTGTTGAAGCAGGGCTGCAATGCATCCATAGTTAGAAAAGTCACAAAACCAGAAGTGATCAAGCTGAAGGAAGAGCCTTCTCTTTATTGGGAGGAAGCAGGAGGCAGTCCTTCCTTCCTGTATTTCCACAGGGAGAGAGATGCAGAGTTTATATTATAAGAATTGTTTATCTTTAGGTCTAATGTTTTTTCAGGCTTTGTGTCAACTGTTTTTGTGTGATAAACTGCCAGATGTATTTGTCCTTTGAGACTTTTGGGGTTTGCATCTACTCTTTTATGGAAATAAGTCAGCCCAAATCTTTTGACCTTACTGTGTTCATAGACAAGATTTTAAGTATATATTAATAAATAAATATGCTGTAAAAGAACTGATTTCTGTCTTTAGTCCACAGTATTTCAAATTAATTGAAGAGTGTGTGTCCCAGATAGTGTTACATCGAAGTGGAACAGACCCGGATTTCACGTATCGTAAAAGATTAGATATCAATTTCAGCCATTTAGTAGGTGAGTACTATGTTTGGAAATGATTATAGTATCATATTTCTTTATATGTTCCAAAAAGCAAGTTAAAGTTGTACATGTGATTAAGAATCTTGTGTTCCCTGTATATGTGCAAGTGTGTTTGTTTATTTTTTCAAGATATTTGTGTAGATAAAGCAAGATTAGAAGAATGTGAAGAGAGGGCTTCTGAACTTTCCAGAAAAGTAAGTAATTTTAAAGTTATGTGATCGTAAAATGGACACAGGGGGTTTACTTAATAGTTTCATGAATGGTGTAACTGAATGTGGCATAGTTTTTAACTTCAAATTACTATTAGTTCTATATTTAAGTTAGAATTTGGATGTTTCTTGTGGACTAGGAAGCAGAGAGAAACAGTGTAAAGTAGTTAACCTTAGTGGAGAGTCTCGCTACTATTTATTTCAAGGTTTCGTGTACAAATCTGAATACTTTATTTGAACAGTTATCAGTTTCTTCAACAAGATAAACAGTGGGAGAATAAGAATTGGCTCATTTGTATCTACAGACTCTGTATTACTGTACATCAGTCTTTTTAACTACTCTAATTCCAACTTAAAATATGTTAAGTATTTTATGCTATTTCATATAGTAAAGACTAGTAGTGGTAATAGAGATGGTACTTCCACTCAGTGGATACATGAAAGTTAGAATAGCAGATACGTTGTATGTGTCCTTAATATTGTTAACATGTGAGTTTTAACAGACATGAAAGGAAAAGTTGCAATCTAAAACTATGCAGAACTGACTAGCATTAATAATTTTCTTTTTTTTTTTTTCTTTTTTCTTAGTTTGAAAAAGATTTTGTAGTTCATCAGGAGACCCAAGCCCTACTGCAAAAAAAAGAAGAAAGAATCAATGAACTTGAAGCAGAATTACAAGCTTTTAAATCACGGGTATAATACACTTTCAATGAATGTATGAAGTATTGTTTTTGAAAGGGACTTAATTTTGCATCTTTTGTGGATTCTGAGATTCTGATAGCACAGTTGAGGTGTTTTGTTTTTTTTTCCAAAGAATCCTTGTTATCAATTATTATTGACTGTTAGTTTCCTTTATTTCTGTTTTATACAAAGAATTGTAGTGTGACACTAATTAGCTGTTTGAGTTCCCAGATGATCCTTTTTGTGCCTGAGCTCTGTTAATTAGACTAATTTCTTATGTTTCATTTGGGTTTTGCTTTCAGTGTCCTATATTTCCAAAGTAATTAACCACATAGGGTAATAAGTCTTATGCTTTTTAGATTGGCATTCGTCACTGTGATCTTTATTCCTCCACAGGAAATTATTCAGTACGCAGTTTGCTTTGCTGAAGCCTTACCATGGATATCTAGCAGTGACAGAAAGAACCTGTGGCTGGATAAGAACATTTCCTGATAATTTTTCAATTTTCAAGCATAAATAGATATTTTAAAATATGATGGAAAGGAATAGTGCAGATTTTTGAGAGTAATACTTGAATTAACTTCTAACTGCTTCAGCTCTAAAATCTGTGTAAGGAGGCTGTGTGACCAAGTGATTTTTCCTGTGTCTTATTTTGTGGAATAAGAAGCATGATGTAAAAATGGCTAAAGACAGCCAGAGTCAGGAAGATATGCATATAAGAAGATGATAAAAACCATATATTTTGATCATATAGGATTTTTGTTATACTTTTGAGCTTGTTTAATTGTCTTAGTGAGGAAAATTGATGTAGCTGTGCTTTGGTCTGTTTAAAAATACAATTCTAAGTCAGGTTTCTGGTCAGAATTAACTGTTACTGTCAAAGTCAAACAGGCTTTAAAAAAAGCACAAAAATTGCTGCATTCTAAAAAAATTTTAGAGAGCTGTATATCATTCATTAAAAAGTAATTTTATGTGTGTATCTTGAAAACATGCTTAAATACTTTTTATGAGTGAAATAGATTTTTCTCTCCTGTTTTACCTTTTCTCTTATTTACTGTATTAAATATAACTTTATACGTGCATACAGTGAGTATAACATATGATTATGCTCACTAATGATCATACCATGAATTATCCCACTGTTAATGGGATACTTGGAATGTTTTGTAAGTATCAAGTAGTTGATTGCTGCAACTTAGTACTCTTAAATCCATCCTAAGAGGAATCTTTGGTGTCTGCATTGGTTAGCATCAGTTGGTACTTAGAATGGCTACTTCCACCTCTTACTAGTATTTTTCTCTTGGTCTCGTTCCTTTACTCTTTCATTGTATTTGATATTTATTCATGTATTTCTTTTGTTATTAGAACCTAATTGTTCAGTGTCTACTTGTCAGTGTAAACAATGCATATATTCAGAGCAATATTCAAAACAATAATACCATTGTGCATGTGTTTATTGATATTCAGCTATTTCCTTTTAAAAATACTAAAGCCTTTACTTATTGTATTTCCCTCCATTTTTTAAAAAATAAAATGGACTGTTTCAACTCGTAATTATTAGTTGAAAAGTTGATTAATACTATCACCAGTGGATAAATATTTCTTATTTGTTCTGTTGTTCTTTTTGTCAGGTACCTATTTATTAATATTTGAAGGCCTGTGATGGAAGTTATTCGAATAGCAGAAGTAAATGTATTTTTTAGACTTACTGAAGTGCTAATAAGCCTATCTTGATACAGTATAGATGTTCTTACTATACAGAATAAGAAGTCAGTGTATAAGGCAGCTATGTTTTTTGGAGGAAATTTTTTTCATCATTACTTTGTGCTTTCAATTCTGTAGAATGAGACTGCTCCTATATTGGAAAACATCTATTTTCCAGCAAAATTATTAGTCTGTCCATATTCTGCTATTATGTCTTTGGAATGTTTCTCTGTAATCTGTAGGATAAGTAAGAAAACTAGAGACTAGGATGTAATATTTTTAATTTGAGCTAAACTATGGTAGTCTAGATAGGTATCTTGATGAAATTTTATCAGACCCTTCTTAGATCATGATCAGTGAAATATGACAAGTGGGATATAGCATTTCAGTTTGTCATTTTTGGCATGCATCCCCTGGTCTGAATGTCCACTTCAAATGTTGAGACTTCCAATTATGAAATCAAAAGCACATTGGCCTCGTTATAATTCATATTTGATTGTCCTACACAAGAAAAATGGTGCTAAATTTCAACTGACTTGCTGGATTTAATCTATAAACTATGATTGTTATAGCATTTTGTTGATAAGAATGTGAAACTGAATAAGAATATTTTTTTTATCAGTATGGCTCCTTGCCACCTGGTTTTCTACCATCAACACATGGAGATGCACCTGTCGTTCCCCTGGAGGCTGCAGGACCACATCAACTTCCACCTCTTCCTCCTCCACTGCTGCCTTCTAATGGAGCGATTCCACCACCACCGCCTCCCCCTCCTCCTCTGCCACTTTCAAAAGGCTTGGGAATTCCTCTGGCTTTTGCTGGTGCTCCTCCACCACCGCCTCTACCAGGCCTGCCTGGAGCACAGTGGTCTCCACCTTCATGTACTTTGCCATTTGGAATGAAGCCTAAAAAAGAATTCAGACCTGAAGTTACCATGAAAAGACTCAACTGGTCCAAGGTAGTACTGATTAATGGCAAACACTTGATGTAAAATTTACATAGAGCTTAGGGTAAATAGATTGTCAGGAGTAAGACAGAGCAATTGATATATTAGATAAAATTGTGTAAGATATTAATACTTTTTGCCTTTACTTTTCTTTGCTTTCTGAAAACTGCATTTCATTGACTCATGAATCATCTGGACAAATATCTGTTGACTTTGAGATGACTGGAAAAGTCAATTCTGGTCTAGAATAATACAGCTTTGATGCCAGCGTGCTTCCTGGGTCCTGCTATGCCTTGTCTTTTAGCAAACTCTTTACATTGGAATAGTTGCTGCACTGTACTGATAGCTATACAGTTTCCAAACAAGCATCTTACATCTGTCTAGCCTGGACTGTGGGAAGAAGCATTGCAGGTCTCTCCATTTGTCCTTAGTGTAAACGTACTTATATAGATTTAATGGTTGAAAAAATATAGAGTCCTTTTTTTTTTTTTAATTCTCTACTGTGACAGGATCAAGTATACCATGACTATCAATCTACTGAGTTTTGGAAACTAGAATTATTTAGATCAAAATAAGTCAGTAAAACCTTTTTCAGAGTTTTATGAAGCAATCAAAGCTACAATCTAAAAAGTAAGATACTTAGTATCTAGTTAAACCAGCTGTGTTCAGAGTCTATTTAAAGTTTACCCAAGTTTTAAAACTCGACCAAAGATAATTTGCTACGTTTAAACCTCAGATAACAGAGAATGTTGCCTGTATTGCTTTGTATTGTTAGGATTGGTTTGTCCAAAAGCACTTACTGTAAGCATTACTATCTTCAATCAGAGATATATTAACAATTCTGAAGATGAGTTGTATACCAAAAATTCATGTGTTCTGCAGAGCTCTTAAGTATTCCATTAGCTTTAGACTCTACAGAGCAAAATCTCTATGTAATATCAAAATAATTTAATACAATTTTGTTTTGACTCTTGCTTGTAGATCAGACCTCAGGAAATGACAGAATCCTGTTTTTGGGTTAAGGCAGAAGAGGACAAGTATGAGAATGCTGACATACTTTGCAAACTGGAACTTACGTTTTGTTGTCAAAAAAGGGGTAAGTAATTTCTTGCTTTAATTTTCAGCTTTTAGAGATATCTGTAAAGTTCTTGGGGCTTAAATATATATGTGAAAAAATTCAGAATGTAACATTAATGTTCTGGCTTTTTAAGTGGAATGTGCGAAGAAAGAAGTTTGAAAATCCTAGACAGCTTAAAGCAGTAATATTGAACTATTTTACTTAAAGGATGACACGAATTGTATGACCTGTAAGGACAACCTTATGGAAAAAAAACCAAGAAATGCTTCTGGATAATACAGACTTTTATTCAGTCATGGTTGAAAACATTTATAAAATTTTGTCAGAATACCTTAATAAAATACTATGACCCAATATCAAGTCCAGAAGATGATATATTTACCCTCAGAATGCGTATGATGACAGATGTGTTTTGGTTCCATGAAGGAGGAGAGTCTTTTAATGAAATTTTTTACTTTCTGATAAACCTGTAGCACCATAGGTCTCCTTTGATATTTTGGTTAGCTTCTTCAGCTTTTAAAGTTTTTTGGAAGAGCAAAATATTTGAAGGTATTCCTGGCTTTAGACCTTTTCTCCCTTTCTGGAAGTAAGTTGTCTCACTAGTAGTTTAGATTGTTCTGCCCCATATATAAAATGCCTATATTTCCACTGTTATTTGTTGACACATTTCCCACCAACTCCTGCCTTGGCCCCCAATTGGTATCAGAGACTTAGTACTTTGGGGCAACCAAAGAGGTGTAGTGATTAATTCCTTTTCAAATTGAAAAGACGTTATTATATGTTTAGTTTGTTCTACTAATTTCACTTTGCCATACACTATATTAAATAAAAATATGATTCTCAGATTTGTCCATTTTTTTGTATGCTTTGGTGTGTATTATCCAATATTGTTTTTTACCATAACCAAGAACTTTATTCTACTTTTGTTAAAGCAAGCTTTTTATGCTCTAGCAGTATTTCTACTGAGATGCGTATTACAGTTAATTACTGTGATACTTAGTATTATTAGGAATGTTGTATAAATATAAAAAGGCAAGGAAACCTCACAGACCATAGACATTTTTTCTTGAATCTATTAGAATGTCTAAAAGATAATTGTGGTGCCTTTATAATCATAGGAGAATTCCCAGGAATGTTCCCTGAATTAATAGGTTGGAAGGTTTAAAAGCCACTGGAGGAAATACTGTTTCCTATGTGTAATTAAACAGTAAAATTTGGGAGACAAGATGATGTTCAGGCCAAACATGTTAATGACTCAGAAGAGGATTGTGAATCTCAACAGACAGTGAGAACATTAGAGTTGACACGATTAACATCCCTTCAAAGTTCAACTGAATGGACTGAATACATTGTTTTGACAAAACGTAATAGAAAGAGTTATTGAATCTACAGTTGAAAAATCAGTGAAGTACACTCTTATACTAAATGGGGGGGTAGGGGAGGTGATTAAAAGGCTGTAGCCCGCAGGCAGAACTTTATTTATTTTTTTACAAATGGAGCGTACATTTTTTTGTTTGTTTTTTTTAAGTTTTGAAATCTCTTTAATCTCACATGGGTGATATAAGTGTGCCTTCATCTTAATTTTTCAAAGGAAATGGAGGCACTAGAGACTTTATTTAGAACAGCAAGTAGGTGTCTAAAGGGCAACATGGAACTAAATTTCATCTTTGTTCAAGTGAGTGGTTTACAGAAATTTGCCTGAAAGCTTAAACGTGTAAGTAGACAGCACCAGGCATCTCAGTGTCTCTTCTTATTAACAGCATGAATTCTAGTACAAAGGACAGCAAACAAACTGCTTTTGTTCTTACGACCATGGAGAGAGGGCCTGCTTCTTTGTAGCTTATACGTAACTTGCTGATTATAACAAAACTTGCCAAAGCAATTGGAGACATCTGGTTTTCTTCACTTCTCAGTCTTGAAGAGATTTAACACCATGCTTTGTAAAGTAGAATCAGCAAGCTATTCATTAGACTCAATGTGGGAACAGTTCTTGGCTATTTCTAATTCTTTGTCTCTAAAACCAGAAAGAGGAGAAGTTGAAAATTATTCTGTAGCCAAATGACAGCATGCAAAGAATCAGCTGGTTTCCACTCTGTTGAAGGGTCTGCTTATGCACTCTCTTCATTGAAATCATTGTGTAAGAAGAGGTATCTAGTTGTGGAAGCAGGGACCAGAATGTTCAATGATGCTTTAAGTGAATTTTATTCTGATTAAGTAAAATCAAATTGAAGTACTCAAATGTTCAGTTGGTGCCTTTTGCCAGCTGAAGTGCCAAAACTATTTTGGTGTTGATCCAGAAGAGGAAGTCTTACATCTATGTAAATAATCCATTGAGGAATTTCTACTAGAAAAAGGAATACAGAACAGTGTAGAATAGACTTCCAGTTTTAGCAAATGTTTGTATAGAAGTTAAAAATTATTTAGATTCTGGATGGGTATTGAAGCAATTGAAATACCTGTAGATTTTATGGGGGTGTGAAAGAGACATTACTGCAAGAATAAAAAAGTAAAAGAGGATCTAGCTTCAG